ACAAACATGTACTTCGCTCTACATTAATGTATTGAGCATTGTTTTACGAATATCTGCGTTCTACACTATCTATCTATCTATCTATCTATCTATCTATCTATCTATCTATCTATTTATCTATATTTCGTATTTATATATTGGTCAAGAGTTGGTAGATACCTGACTGATGTGTTGGTCGACACTTGGTCTATAGTCGGTCAATAATTGGCCGATATGTAGTCAATAGTCGGTTGATATGTCGATCAAGATTATCAACTATCCACTATTGACCTTTTCTCGGCCAAGTATTAACCAACTATCAACTAACTATCGACCAACTGTCAACTGACATATCAGTCGAGAGTACCCACAGTAAATGTGATCTCAAGTGGGTACCAGCAGGTTGTCACGGAAGCCTGATGAAATGGTAAGGGTAACTTTGCGATGGGTGGGCCACTTATCTCGTGTGGTGAACTATGTGGTGAACTTTCCTTCAATTTTCATAATAACCTTTAAACAGGAATCATTTAGAAGAAGAGTTGAAGACTACATCAGACTGTATGCATCCCCTAGAAGATAACAAATAACACAGCCAGCTGCATGGAATCATCAGCTCCTGGGTGTCGTTGGTCTGTCAGATAAATTATTTATCAGTAGCAATAACTGTAAGAGTTCATAGATCGATTTTGTAAGTACTGTAAGAATATAATAACGCCAAAGTTTATTCTGGATGGAGTGTCGGTAAAGCAATGTTCCCAGAAGAGTGAATCTACAGTGTACTTCATGTATCTAGTGAGCTGCGTAATGTTTAGTTCATTTTATTTATAAGATCACGAGTTGATATGTGTTTTCCTTTTTTCTTTCATTTCTTCGCTTATTCCTTCTCTTCTTATATCTGTGACTTCTCTCAGACGTTTGTCTATCTATCTGTCTGTCTGGCCATCTGTCTCTGTGTGTCTATTCATCTGTCTAAATAATTTGGATATATCAACAAAGTTGAAATGGTAAATTGGCCACCGTAACGATTACAAAGGCTGACGTTTCGAGCGTTAGCCCTTCGTCGGAGCGAATCAACTTTGTTGATATATCCAAATTACTTCGTTACCCCCACCGACGCAGCTCAAACAGTTTCTTTAGAAACTATCAGCCTTTATTCATCTGTCTGTCCTTTTGTCCATTGTTCAGTCCTGACTGTCCGCCTCTCTGTCTGTTGGACTGCCTGTTAGTGTTTTTTCTATTTACTTTTCTATTCACTTATCTATTTTCTGCTCTTTGAAATCAAAGTACAAGATCTAGTCCATGTGTTCTATGCTTTTCTTTGAAGCCTCCTTGTCTAAAAATTATCAAACTATAGGGAAACGTAAGAGAGAGTGGGGTGGTCAAAGAATTTGCTAAAGGTCGGCACACACGAGGGGACTAGTCCCTGCGACTAGTCCCAGCGACCAGTTTCATGCGACTAGTCCCTTCGTGTGAACTACACATTTCTGTGGTCGCAGGGATCAAAATTTGGTCCCTGCGACTGGTTGCACGAAATCAAACTGGTTTGAATTCGTGCGACCAGTCGCAGGGACTTGTTCTAGTTTTGTAAACATATACAGATGTCTTGNGTATCTGTCTTTCTGGTCATGCTTGACTGACTGTCCGCCTCTCTGTCTGTTGGACTGCCTGTTAGTATTATGTCTATTTACTTTTCTATTCACTTATCTATTTTCTGCTCTTTGAAATCAAAGTACAAGATCTAGTCCATGTGTTCTATGCTTTTCTTTGAAGCCTCCTTGTCTAAAAATTATCAAACTATAGGGAAACGTAAGAGACACTGGGGTGGTCAAAGAATTTGCTAAAGGTCGGCACACACGAGGAGACTAGTCCCTGCGACTAGTCCCAGCGACCAGTTTCATGCGACTAGTCCCTTCGTGTGAACTACACATTTCTGTGGTCGCAGGGATCAAAATTTGGTCCCTGCGACTGGTTGCACGAAATCAAACTGGTTTGAATTCGTGCGACCAGTCGCAGGGACTTGTTCTAGTTTTGTAAACATATACAGATGTCTTGGAGCCGTTTTGATGGAATTTTTACCCTATTTGACTCTGTCTCTGTTTAAAATAAAAACAAAAACAAAAAACAAAAACGGAACACGTAAGAGCATGAATACTCCGACTGAATAAGTGTAGTTCATTTGCGTTGATGTTTAATAGTGCTACAATGAAAAGTTACCAAATTTTCATTGTTTTCGTGCAACGCCCCAGACTAAGAAACATCCTATGTTCTTGTGCAATTGATTGCCCTCGTGTGAACGCCTTAAGGGACTAGTCCCTGCTACCAGTCCCCTCGTGTAAACCCTTCAAAGACTTGTCGCCGGGACTAGTCGCACGGACTAGTCGCAAGGACTAATCCCCTCGTGTGTGCCGACCTTAAAGTAAGGCCGTATACGGCGGATTCTCGAGTGCTTGGCGTTCGTTTTTGCTGCTTTGCCGCTCAACACTGCCAAAAAATGGCCGGTTACGCAGTCTATTCAGCCACAGCGATGATTGGAAAATTGTAAATCTTTGTATGAGTTGCAAAACTACAAAAGTAGAGATCTCCTTTTTTAAGTTGGTTTTTTTTTTGGAATATTTGGTATCACCAAGGCAAATGCAGAGCTAATTGACTAACTCAACGTGTGATGCACTTCTTTTTTTCACTTCTTGATTCAAGTTGTATTTACTAAAAAGAGTTTGTAACGCCTCTTGGATGTCTTACTATTCGTTTTCGACTTTCGCAGAGCCAAATTATGTTTTGCCATGAGGCATTTAATGCCAACTTAGGGAGGCGGGTTTTTTCAGGGGCCTTTTCTCGTGCAGGTTAGTTGTATTTCCCGGATGGGTACTAACCTCGCTGGTTCTTCTCGCTCCTTTCTTTCCCCACCCCCCCCCTCCCCAAAATCCCGCCCTAATAAAACTTGGAACATCCTGACGAGCAATGTAACCTCCTGCAGGACTGAAGGGATTTCTTACGCGCGAAATATTTTCAGCTACGCTACCCGAAGATTCAGTTTTATGCCGTGCTTGTTTTGTAAATAGGCCCCCAAGATATTTGAAAATAAAAGCAATTTAAATTGTTAACTAAACGATCATTTAATATTATTAAACAAACTAAAAAAAATTTTGCCTAAGTGTGAATTATCAATCTGCACAATGGGAGGAGTGCTAAAAATGTAATTTTTTTTTCGCGCTCTCCGTCATTCCTCCTTCATGCAGTTGACCCAGCCCATAGCGCTATCCTCGCACCTGCCTCTTTGCGCCTAAAACATGCCAAATAAACGCCTGCTTTGCAGGCTACGAGTCTGCTTCCAGTGTGCTAAACGTAAGGCCACTGGATCTCCTCCAATGGCAGAACTGTATCATTATTTTTGCAATTTTGCTACATAAGTTATTTAATCACTCAAAGTGTCAAGATTGCTGCGGCGAAAAAAATTGTACCCGGTCAATTTGGAATATTACCCAGCAGGAGTCATAATCAAAAACGATTTTTTGCTCATGAACAGAAACCTATATTTTTAAATCTGGATTTTAAATAATTTTTATATTTGTTCGGTCCAGAAAATCTTTTCAAAGATTGAGAAAATGTCCTCTTGCTTGGGTCGCCCTAGTCTCCCTCGCAGCCGTTGTTTTGGGGGAGCGTTGCGTGACATCAAAAAAAAACGGCTGCGAGGGAGACTGGGGTCGCCCAAGCGGATAAACCCGTCATGCTCTGAAACCGAAATACTACTCAACAGCGGTTCACCAAATAAGAGCACAACCCTTGTCATGTAAATAAGTTTTGCGCGGTACATTTCAACTCTGTTTCTATTGTTTGTAACGGACAAAAATACGACAAAAATATGTAAATCCAATGACCCAAGCACTGAAGACAGTGAATTTATAGCAACAGGATATATGATGGCTGTTAAAGTGAATCCTCAACCGTTGAAAGCCAAGAACTAGTTTTGTTTTCCAAGAGTGAGGGCGTATGAAATCTCGTACATTCAGTGTTTCGTTTGTAAGGTGAGCTTTTCCACCAAGTTGTTTATCCGTTTAAAACTTGTTAAATGACTAATTTTGACAATTAACGAACGATCCGTGCAAACTTGGAGTATTGAGGGCAATATCTTTCCTCGTCTGCAAAGATAGAATGTTTCCAGCGATGTCGGAAGACTAAATGTGCGTATTTATAACAGTGATCTGAGGTGACATCAATGCCATGAATTTGCGTTGTAAAACGTGTAAGTAGTTAGTTTGACAATTCATCGAGGTGCTAATACCATCTTTACCTCGCCAAAATTTACTTTGTGACTGCGTTAAATATAGCACAGTTATTATTGCTGTACAGAGAAGCGAACTAATTTCCATGAGAGTTTGAAAGTGAACGCGTTAAAATAATATCGCAATAATTAGCTCAAGTTCGTAGTTTACTGTTCCATGAGAGCAGAAAACTGTCTCAAGAGGAATCTAATATTTCCAATTCATCTACAGCATCCGCAAAATGCGATACCGAAAATTCAAAATTTTGAACCAATCCACTTAATGTTTATAATTACTCTTGACAGGGGAAGAAAAACAAATTAATCTTTATTTCAGCGACAGGAGAGCTCGAAAATGTACGATTTTCCCCGAAGGTGGTAAAATTTAAAAGAACAAACGCTGTTTAAAAACTTGATTAGAGTAACAGATTTCAATTGTAGATCGAATGGAGTATATTTCAACTTATAAACATCCAATTATTTTAATTATTGTAGCTCGAAGTTTCTCAATTTGTTAATGGTACCCAGATGTAGATCAGCCTGCTGATACTGAAAGGAATTTGCGGTAATTAATTGCATCATTGCCCCATCAACAGCTGGAAAATTGCTAAAGGAAATTTACATTACTGGAGGAACGTTTTTGATGCAACCTTAATGCATTAAACAGCAAATAGGAATATCATGTTGAATATTCAATGTTACAGACATTGAATTCTTTCAAAGGGAACAGATTTAGGTTGTTATGATTTCAAATATTTTGCCAGTGGAATAGAAGAGAAAAATAACTGACCGTTACATGCTGTTAACTTTTTTGTGAAACTATTTCTGGCTAACCCCACTAACTCAATGTAATCAGGAAACAAAGAAATCACTGAGCTGGAACAGAAAATCTGTCATTAGTTTGGCATAAATCACATTAATGGGTCTTCGTTTTGGTAAAATTTCCTACTATCTCATCTTGTTATCAAATGTAAATCTTAAATGAACTGTATTCAATGCAAAACTTACCATTAGCATGTGTGTGGTATCTTATGCAAAACAAACATTCACTTCTTTGTTAAGTTTTCTGTACTGTTAGCATCTCGAATATGATGACTCCCTTTTGTTTGTTTTATTTCAAAAATTCCGGTTTTGAATTTTAGCCTTCATTAATAAGTGGAGATTAAATGGTTTTGAATAGCAGAGCCTCACAGATACCACCATAATCCTTTTTTTTTGTGATGTTAAGTTAAACACAAAATTTATTCTTCCATTGTTTACATTCATTTTTCAATGGAACTCTATTTAAATGGAAATTAACTGTGACCTCAGTATGTAAGTCTGCATAACTCATTGGCATTACATTTGGTGTTAAGGTCAATGTAATGATCCTAAATGGATTACAAGAGTTTGAAAATGAATGTTAAAAATCATTTTTGATATGTAATTGTTAAACTGGTTTAAGAGAAGATGCATGTTGATTTTTGTTCAAATCTGATGCTTCTTGCAGTGCTTTCAATAAGATTTGAAATAGGTGGCTACCTTAGTACAGCACCTGCCGGAGAGCGACCTGGTTGTGACTTGAGCGTGGTGACCATGACTGGAGCACGGTGAAATATACCCGGTGACTCGCAACAAAATACCTGCCGGAGCTCAGGTGGGTGCCAGGTCTTACTGAAAGCACTGTTCTTGTGAAAAATGATGTTTGACAGGATTAGTTGTGAATTCAAATGAACGCTGGTTACCAGTGGTGTATAGGTGTCTGTTTAGCCTGCGAGCGAGTTCCTGTGTTCAGGTTTCACCTTATGGCATAGCTGTCTATGATGCCATCGACAGCCACTTATGGAAAAAGTTATTCAAATCTCTGTGTGAACTTGTTAACTAATGCTGTTGGTCAATTGTAAATGTGTGCTGCTTTCAATTTTATTTTGGTCAATGTTTGAGTGTGGTGATGAGAATGAAGTAAAAGTATGTAAAATTGAACCAAAGATAGAATTTAGCCAAAAGGACTGTGCATTCCCCAATAAGTAACTAGATGGAGAGGAATCAAAGCTATTTTTTTTAAAATATTTTTTGCACAGACATTATTCCATCAGAGAATGGGAATATTTTTTATTCCATTTTTTATTAATTTTACTAAAACAGGGTTGTGTTTTATGTTTGAACAAGAAGGATTTAGGAATTAATTATTACAGGAATTATTTCTAATCTTTAAGTACATACTGGGATGTAGAATACATGTTAATGAGGACAGTGACATACACGGTACAACACGGGTAACTGGCAGGTGAATGAGTTCATTATTAATTTACAAGCTGTTCGTCAGAAGTTAGGTTTTATTGGTCATTATTTAACTGAGTGTAGGTTGCTTTGTAATTCTTTCTTCAAGTTACTATTTATGGTAAAGGTGAAGAGGTTGGGGAATTAGCACATTAGCAACTTTTCATGCCATAATAAGTCCTCCTTGTCTTTTTCAAGGAAATATTGGACAATTTGGAAGGAGAATCTGACTAGCAGTTTATCAGAAGATGTTCCTGAAGGGCCTTTCTTCACACACTCCTTTGCATCTTTTGCTCCCAAGATCTGATTAGTAATTCTCATTACTGTCTGCTATACAATTTTTATGCTTTGCATTTGGTGAATTTGGTATTGGATCAACCAATGATACCATTCTAGATATTCTTCTATATTCTCATCACTCATCAGCTTGGTACTGTATTGATACTGTAAGGAGAAATTCTGTCTTGGTCACTCATGGGAGTCACAGGGTTAAGGAAAGAGCAATTTCATTTTGTCAGCTCTCACTGACAGTTAAACCTTTTCACCCAAAAATAGTATGCATATTTATTAAAAAGCTGGCGGTGCCAACACAATCAGCTTTCTTTTTCGGCTCTTGAAATAAACAATTCATAGTTGATTCTTACTGAAGCAAAATCTTTTTGCCATAGAATAAATCCCTTATTGACCAGTCTTGTTTGGTAAAGATGGCTGGATATTAGCCTTGAGCCTTTTTTTTTTAGGTCCATAAAACACACGGAGGAAAAAAAATTGGCCATCTGTACTTCACACTTGGTCAATAGGTCAATAACATGTATTTGCCATACTGTTCTTTATACATCTCTTGCACTGACAAGGAGAATTAGTGTCACAATCAAGAACTCCTTTTGTTTGTGATCATTTCTTTTATTCTCATAACCTTAATGTGTGATTCAGGGGTGATATTGTAAGGAGAAATTTAAGATGCTGGTCACTCTTAGTCAAAGAGTTATGTATTTGTTACATCTTAGTGGTTAGAGTAACTATGAGTTTGACTCATTGACCCCTCTGGGACTCGGATCCAGATGTACATTTAAGCCCCATTTGTATGGTCTCGGGTACACGAGACAACCCTCCCGCTGAAACAGCTCTATAAAGGGTATACATGAAATTTTACATCTGCTAACCATCATTCAGCGAGGCCACATTAAATATTTGACAGAGTGGCGTACAATGGGGAAACAATAGCTGTAATATGTTTGTGCTCAAATTACAACATGCACATGCATTTCCTGTTGGAGTTGTCTCGTCTCAGGTGGGCAAGACAAGGTGTTTACACGAGAAAAAGTTGTCCTGCCTGTCAGGGTTACCCTACCTGCTGAGGTGAGAGACAACTCAACCCCCAAGTTATCTCACCTACCCAAGACGAGTTTACAACCTCGTGTGAACAGGCAGCTGAAATTTTTGAGGAAATAGTGAAAAGTTAGCTCACCCAGAGTAACTCGGGTTAGGATTGTCTGGGGTACTTGAGACCATAAATGGGGCCTTAGAGTCATGTGGCACAATCATTGGGCCTCCTTATCTCCCAAAGTGTGACTTCTTTTTAGGGGACACTTTCTGTAGTCCTTAGAGGGTACAGTGATTAAAGGTTCCTAAAATCCACTGTAAATTACTGAAAGGCTGTTACAGATAATCTAGGTCACATTCATATCTTAGTTTTCAGTTTAAGGTCTTTTGTGATATCAAGTTAGTTGTTTTTTTTTTTCTTAAGCGATTGTGATCATAATCTGTGTCTGAATCATTCATCAGGAACTAGATTGCCTTGTCGTTGCTCATGCAGTGTCCAGGACAACAGTTACCATTGAGTTAATAAAACAGTATATGGATGGCAACAAGCACAGGCCCCTGGGATGAAACTGATGACAGTGCAAGCTATGATGCCCCCCCAGCAATGCGTCCTCCAAGAAGAAGCACTCTCAGAGTGAGCCACCTACGTCAGCCTTATGCACGACCCCCATCACCTCCTCGCCACGCATCTTCTACAAGACCAAAGATGGGGGGTGGAGTGGTTGCTGACAAAGTGGAAGACCTTGCTGCTTCCCTGCAAGCAACAACTGAAGTGTTGTCCACAGCAGATCGCATGCTAGAGCACTATAGGGATATCAATGTTGAACAAGATGAAGAAATTGCAAAGGTAACCCCCCGCACCTAGTAATCTGGAGTGGATCATTTCATGCAAGACTTTGCACAGATTGATATTTGAGTCAATGACCTTGATATGCAAGGCATTTATTTTAATTTGCACTATTTATCTGTAGTTAAGAGCTGAGCTTGAAAAGTCTGCTGATATTCTGAGACGAGAAAGAATATCAAGAAGACGGAGACTTCCTCCTACTCCTTCGTCATCACAGGTAAGACTTGTGCTTCTGTTGAAGCAACTTTTTTGTGTTATGTTCTTTGAAGTAAAAAATTAGCTGAAAAGCAACAAGGCATATTGCTAAATACTCCTCATGGATGGAATGATAATCTGTCACAGGACACTCTAGACTATGAGCAGTTCGTCCTTTTCATGGAAGTCTGAGTAAACAAAAGCAAAAAAAATTGATGTAAGCACCCTGTGCTCTGGGAGTAAGGGGCTAGAAAAGCAAAGTCCAGACTTTTTGTCCCACTCCTAGAGATAGGTGTTATGTGCTAACATCAATTTTTATGTAGTTTTCCTGATTTATTTTACTTAAATTTTTTTTTGACTCACACAACTGGTTTTGCTGTAAAGGAGGGACTCCTTGTAGTCTAAGATTTAACCCTCCCTACAGTACTTCTCTAAGGATACCTAGAGAGTAAGCATGTACTCATTTCCACCCATGCATGTGAAGATGTAGCATTAGAATGCAAGGTTTAAGAAGAGCTGAAAACCTGGACCTTTGGATCTTGGGTCTCCTGCACTAACTACTTGGACTCTAGCCCTGCCACTCTCTACATACCGACTTCAATAATTTACTCTCAAAACCTTAATAGAAATATTTTTATTTGACTCTTATTCTAATTTCTTTTTCTCAGTCTGAGGATGAACAGGGAAGACCAGCAAGGAAAAGAAGCTCAGTGAGTTTTGGCAAAGATGTTAGATCAGATGTGAGTAAATTGTTTCGTGGTTCTAATCACAAACCCTTTCCACCCTAACATGGCCATTCATATTTACCATACTGTTCTCTATACATTTCCTCTGGTACTGACAAATAGAATTTGTTCTTCCCAATGAGTTCCGGGATCGAAGCAAAACAATTCTTTACAAATTTAACTCATTTAATTTAACAAAATAACAAGCTATACACCATTACGAAAAAAAAAAAAAAACATGGCAGTCTTTTTGACCTCATGGTCAGACTAATTCCCAGTTCTTCTAAACAGAATTTGTTTGACATTCAGCAACTACTTAAAATTGTGGTAAAATTGAAGAACAGCTCCCCAAAATATCTGTAGGCCGACTGTTCACCTACAGTTGGCTGACATAATGAAAACAAATTCAGAAACGAGTAAATAGACTGTCATCTTGGTAAGTTTGACCTTTCACAATTACCTCAAAATGAATTTTGACGAACACCGCGCAATGGAGGTAAATTTCGAGTATGAAGCATTATTGGCCATATCGATCTTCATTTATGTGAACTTGGTGTGTAGTATCTGACTGACACATTTCATTCCGCTGAAATTGGAAGAGGTTAGTTACTTAGATTTAGCAATACGAGTAAATTTTTCAAAGACTCACAAAATTGCACGAGCCCATGTTGATCATTTTCTTTTTTCTCTTGGCTTAAACTTTTGATGCAAGGGTGATGCTCTGAGGAGAAATTAGATGCCAATCGCTTCTTTTTATTTGATTCTTGACAGGTTGACCAGTTGAGAGAGGCTGTGAGAAACCTTAAAAGTGAACAAAACCGCCTGACTGGAGAAATTGAAAGAGAAAGGGAAGAACGGGAAAGGTGATGGGATGATGATGATGATGATGATGATGATGATGTGTACTTCATAGGCTTGTCTGGGAACTGGAAAAAACTGTACCTCCCACACTAAAAACGTTCTATTTACATCAAAATAGTTTTTATAAGTGCGTTTCAAGGGCGTGACAAAGAGGGTGTTTCTTGAGTACATGAGACCTCCCTCTTTGTCAAGAAAAACCGCTTCCTGGTTAGCTCTATTGGTTAGAGCGCCGGATTGTGTTGTGCGGGAGGTAGAGGGTTCGAGCCCCGGCCAGACCGATACTCATGGTCTTGAAGTAAGCGAGGAGAATTTGCTACCTTTCTTGAATCAAGAAATGGATAGATATTCTAGTCTTTTCGGATGAGGACGAATAAACCGTAGGCCCCGTCTCCTGCAGGGTTAGGGGTAGGAGACGTTCATTTCCCACGCACGAGATTACTGTGCTGTGGAAGTCCTCCCCTGGGGTGGGATAGGTGGGAATTGGCCCTGAAAAGCCCACATGGGGAGTGGTCAACTAACGTATGTATGTAATGTAACTAGGCCCAAAAAGTGATAATTTTTTGTTAAAAAGGCCTGCTTTCAAACCAGCTTGCTGAACAAGGCCAGCCTGCTCAAATATTGCTGATAAATGAATAAAACACCTCTGAAATCTGAACCAGGAATGTAACTGTTAGTGTACAGTCGAACCTCGATTATTCAGACTAGTTGGGACCAGATGAAATAGTTCGGATAATCGAAAATATGAATACTAATGAGGAACAAAAACTGATTGGATTAAGAAAGCGACATTTAATCATGAAAAGGATACGGTCTACATTTTCAATGTCTGCTGTGAATTGGCCTCTACGCGTGTATTAACGATTAAGATTAATGGAAAATGTTTTTACATTGCCCTAAAATGTTGAGGTAAGTCAGTTTGTCTTAAAGAAGAACATCGCGTGCGCATTGAGAGTTCCATCATTCTTCGAAGCTGCATAATCAGAATAGCGTCAACATTGTTCCTTCTGAGATATGACGTATGTGAATATGGCTACGGATCTAATAACTATTCATGACAAAATTGGGATCAGAGGAAAAATCCGGATAATTTAGAAATCTGGATAATCAAGGTCCGGATAATCCAGGTTCGACTGTACCACATTATTGGCATTCTCAAGTTAATAATATTTCTGCAATAATTTTTTTTTCCGGGCTTCCATAAACAGGGTCGGTGGTGACTATAGTTATAGCGGTACTGGTAGGCGTGACCAGCGAGGACCCAGTGGAACAGCAGGTGATAATTATGAAGTGAATTTCTTTGGTGTAATTTTCTCCCTAATTGCTCTTTTTGTTGCTATTTACACATTAAAATTTCTTTTCTTTTCTTTTTTTTTGTCCAGAAGTCATCTCCCGAGCAGATTTGGCAGAGAGGTATGGCAATTTGAATTGATTAATTTGTTTATAATGTTTCTTCATTTTACATTGAATTTCAGTAGATTTCCTCTTTTAACTTCAATAATAGAGTTGGATACTAGATAGGGAGGTAAAGCCTGTTTACGAGCCAGGTGGCCCATCGGGCCGGTGCTTAAATCCGGTTTCCTAGCATGATTTTAGTATTTTTGGAAGTTGTCACCACGTAAATTTAACATTTTTCACACCATGTGCCCAGTCATTTTTACAAGAAATGTATTCCACATTGATCCTTAATTAGAGAGAGGCTTCTTAATGAGCTGCGGGAAACTGAGGAAGCAAGCAGACGTCAAGCCGAAGTTCTTGTTAAGGTTTGTGACCTGTTTTAGCTTTACTTCATTCAAGACACTCTCAATGCCATCTTAAATCGCGTAATTCTCGATTCTCTAAAATTTGTCCTTTGCAATCTGTATCAGTCCTCTCCATCCTTTGCCATCTTTGTACCCTGTTGCTTTATCATTGCCTTTTTTCTGTTTTTCTATCCTTTTAACTAATATTTTGTATCCATTTACTTTCCAAGCCAATCTTCTCCATTGTTGGCCATCCCAGTCCCTTCTTGGTTTATTTCAGTTTATTGTAGTTGCCTCTTTTGCGTTGTAACAGTTCTATCTTACCAAACTATTATTTTGCAGTCTCTCTTAAACTGAAGGTAGTGTTACCCTAACTTAGCAAGAATATTTTGTCTCTGCAGGGACTGGATGCTGAGCGAGACGTCTTACGAGAAAGCCAAAGACTAGCTTCAGAGAGAGACCGAGAACTAGAATCATTAAGACAACAGGTTAGACAGCTGTTTTGAAGATCGTCACCACCATAAACGTAGAAATATTGATCTCACCATAAAATTTATGCCCCAAAATTTTTTCTCAGCAGAAATGTCAGTCAACCTGAACATAAAAAATTTGTTCATCCAGCACACACGCACACAGCACTTGTATGTACACTCTCGCATGCACGCGCGCGCACACGATACACGCGCGTCTACAAGAAATCACCAATTCTAGAAATTAAACACCCGCGTATTATTCATGTTACACGCTTGTAATGATGCAAGCAAGTAAGTGTAAATAATCAATTCTTTACTCGACGAGCATTACATTATGTATGAAAAAAGTCAGCCAATTTAATTTTATATCGTATTGCTTTCCTAATTGAATTGTATGAAATACTGCTTAATCAGTTTGCTTTCTAATTGAATACATCTCTGTTACGAGAAATCCTAACCAATGATTGAAATTTTGCTGCTAATCACACCACAAGCTGTGTTAATACCTAACCGAATTACTATTAAAGAGATAATAACACGTATTAACGCGAACACTTAATTGAATTAGAATTAGAATTAACACTTAACACACATAAGCGCGTAAACACTCGATCAACTAACGGTCAGTCAAAATATGTGTAACGYTTTGATTCTGCTGTGACAGCCTCCCGTTTTGAATATTTTCCTAAGCTCGTTCATCGGCTGAGGATTTTGGACGGTTTTTATTCCATATGTAGACATGCTGGTTTTTGATTGGTTAAAGGCTGTGGTTTTTGATTGGTTTAAGTCTGTGGTTTTTGATTGGTTAAAGAGTTGCAAGTTGAACTCACCACTGGATTTAGTTTTGGATTTTTTTTTTTAACTAACAATGAAAATGATGAGAAAAAAATGTGCTTGTGGCTCTTAGCCCTCAGATGGTCGATCGACTCAGGCGTTTGAAGATGGTTCTAGACAAAACTATGAAACGAAAACAACAACTCTCCAGTTTTAGATGAAATTTGATCAATAACTTAAGTTGTAATTATCAATTCCGTACTTTTCTTGTAATTACCCGAGCCGAACTGTAGGAGGGGCGATCAGCCCTTAGGCAGATTTAATTGCGGTCGACCCAGGGTTGAGTTAATCTGGTTTCAAACGTTCCAGCTCTGGTCTTAAGTTTTGCTAATCTTACAACTGATGGCTATTCTTTTCATTTTCTAAATGCTAAAACAAGAATTAATGGCCTGGCAGGTTCAGTTTGAAATTATTTTTGAAGCGGATTTGAAGTCGTGTTAAATCCGGAGGCAAACTGTTGCCTAACCTGTTACCTAAATGGAGCACCGTTAAAGTGAGTCTGAATTTCATTGCTTTACACAGTTGCAGGCGAATCAAAAATCGCAACAAGACGAGATCGAGAGTAGACTCAAGGAAATTCAACAAGAGGTAAACAAGTCGCGCACTCGCTGAAATTCTTCAGACGCACTATATAGTCACCAGCAACGGTATCCCATTTACTTTGATTCTTCAAATGAAAGGCTTTCGTCACCTGCACGATGATTTAGACGCCATACCTAAGACCTCGAATTTGATAAAATAATCATAAAAATGTAGTCTTAACCATTCATGCGCTAAGAAAAACCCCTACGTCTCTATCCACTGTACTGAATGCACCGACATGTGTTTTGTCTGGGAGCTTTCTTCAATCTTTATCTTTGTCTCTCTCTCTCTCTCTTTGCTGTGTGCGATCACCAGATGCGAGCGGAGCGAGAATCTTGGGAGAAGAAACAACAGGAAGTCGGTCAACTCGCCAGTGAATTGCGAAATGTCCGGGTAACTACTTTCTTCATACGTACATTCTCGTTTTGCTCTGGAAAGAGGCAGAACTCTCTTTTTTGTTTTTCATTCGTCTTGTGAAACGAGGACGTTTAACTCTGAATATAATCTAAACTGTTAACTGCTACAATTAAGCTTTCTTTAAAAATACATTTAATCAAGAAGTTGAAAAATGTATCGTGCGCAGGCTCAAATAAATACTTAAGTGTCGACATGGTTTGCTTCTTTTAAGTCGTAAAATTTTGATAAGTCAGTACTCAAGGAGCTGTAGTGACTGAAACAAATTAGAAATATATAATTTTATGTATTAAATATGTAGAATAGTTGTTGCTTATGAAGTAAAACGTTTATAAAAAAAACTGATCAATAAATTTTCTGACCCTATTTGTTTGTTAAAATTAAACTGAAAAATCTTCTCTTCTTTTCCTTAGGCAGTCACAAAGCCTGTTTTTTATTAAGCCTTTTCTCTCAAGTTTTACACGATATGTTGAATCTCTGCAGAGTTTGTTGGATGAAGCGAACGACACGAAGATGCGAGATGAAATCCGAACGGTTGCAAGGTATGAATTGCCCTCGTACCAATAAATAATTTTTTGACATGTCTTCCTACTTGTTCAGGACTATTTGCAAGGTTTGAATGTGAGAAAAGTTGACGCGGAGATCAGATTATATTGATGGAAGTTGCCTTTTTGTGAATACTGTTATATTATTGTTTTTATAAGGTAGATTAAGCAAAGAAAGCACGACTTTGAATAAGGATGTGACAACGCTCAGAGGAGCCTAGGTCGTAGTGAATTTCAGTTCTACAACGCTTTCTAACTTAATCCTTACTTGAACTTGTTCTCAGTATTGTGCGCGCGCCACTTTTGAAACATCGTGTGGTCCTTTCTAAATCTCCTTTATGAAATAGTTGAAACTTTTAGTGAGCCACGAAACCTGAACTATAATTCTGTGCGAGATTATCTGAAGCTTTCAGAAATCTTTACTACAGCTTACCTGAGCCTCCTATTAATGTTCCTCCCCTTACCTTCCGCCCTCCCCTGATTAAATACAATGGCGCTTCCCCCCCCGACCCGACCTTGGGTCGCTTCTTCTTGGAACACGATGAAAGGATGTTGCTTGTTCGTTTGTTTTTATCAGTGAGCTAGAGTCTGAACGCAGGGCCCTGGAAGACAGCGAGAGAGAGAAGAGACTGCTTGCCTCTCGTTTGGAAGATTTATCGGGGAGACTGGAACTCTCAGAGAGGGAACGCCGAGAGGTATGGCTATGTTCTACACCTCGTCCCCAGGGGTTTCTCGGCCAGGTAAACCTGCGGCACACAGCCGTTCACGTGATTGCAACGTCTTTGCAAACTTGGCAGCCAAAGAGAAAGTCTCTGTCGACCAAGCGCCATTTCGAAAACTGACCGAGAAACCTCTGGGAAGGAGAATGTTACAGGCCCTTCAAAATTGCATCACGCATGCACACGCCGTTTCCGTTTGTGGTACATGACTCATCGCACTTGTATGCTTTAGGTCATGGCCGAGTTAGAAGCAGCCACAAAGAGACTGGACCAGAGTGAGGGGGGAAAAAACGCGCTGGTAGATCAGGTTTGTAGGGCAACCTCGTTTCCAGGAAGAAATATCCTGAAAGCGAGGTTCAGATGCATAATAAAATTCTCATTGAGCTCACCTAAATACTGTGATGCGTCGTTAAATGTGAACGCATTTCCAAATGTCTTTTTGTTATATCTGTGTTCGTACTGTAAAACGTAGCCACCAGAGCAATTTTCAGTTTTGTCGAAGTAATTCGAAATTGCATCGTGTTTACTTTGCTACGTTTCGGGATCGGTTTAGAAAACCAGCGCTTCCCTCTCAACCAATCAGACGCAAAACTAAAACCAATTGTAACCTGGCCACCCGCGGTTTGCCGCACTTCAGCAGCGTGCTTGGTTTTGCTTGAATTTCCATTGGTTTCTTGAAATATTTTCCGTTGGTCTGATTGGCTGTTGGGATAACTCTGGTTTCGGTTTTACGACACCCCTTCGGAAAACACTCTGCGTCCTTTTTGGTAGAAGAAATAAGAACGCTAAACAAAAGCGTGCTTTTTCTCCAAAGGTATGTACCCTCTCCCATTTTCTTTAGTTCGTGGCCAAATTTTTATTCGATATTTTTAATCCGTTCTAAAGGCAGAGCAATTACGTCAACAGTTTTCACGCTCAGAAGCTGAAAAAACCGAGTTGTCGAGGAAACTTGAAGACGCCCAAGCGAAACTAGAGGACAACGAGTCTACTCGGAAAAGACTTCAGAATAGGTTGGAAGGTTTGAATCGACAGATGGAGGAAGGAAAAGGTGACCGCGATCGTCTCGTGGAACAACTTGAATCTCTTAGAGGACAGGTGTGGACAAGACTGAATTAAAATTTGTTTAAGTTATCTATCAGGGGGTGCTGGAATGGTATCATGCGCTGTACCATAGAAAGAACTTGAGACGATACCGGTCAGAGCATGTAGGGGCGTAGCAAGCCGGGGTCCTAAAGCGCTCATTAGCCGCTCTCCTTCTTCGCATGGGGGGTGATTTCTGGTTTCGATGCTAGTTTCCAGAAATATTTCGATACCCATTTATACCAAGAGAATGTATCCTCTTGTTCGTACACGTGGCTGGAGAAGGTGTTGTAAAAGATTATCAGCCTTTACTGATTTGAGAGGTATATAAACATGTTTGCCTTTGGAGGAGTTGATATGAGACGCAGGCGATGGCTGATACTTTGTATTTATTTGGTCTGGTGAATTTTATTTCTATCAGGGCAAAGTTCATCAATTTTAGACAACCTTAAACTTGAAATTTGTTCCTTTTATTTGGTGTTTTCAGGTTGTGAAGTCTGAGCGAGAAAAAGATGAAATTATGCAACAGGTGTCAAGGGTAACCAGAGGCGCGGCTCATAGACGTCAATCATTGGGAAGAACCCCTTCAGCGGCAGCTCAATTAATGAGGGGTATGGGGCGAACCGAGGGGCCTGGGGGAGATAGTGCGTCTGAGATGAGAAGGAACTTGGACCGATTTGAGCTGGAGCGGGATCTGGATCGGAGGAATCATTTGGGGGAGTCCTTCTTTGATGGACCATCTGGAAGAAATTTCAGGGGAGGGGAGGATATGGATAGGTATGTTGAAATGGTTAATTCTGCTCTTGAGCATGAAACCCGTTTCCCGTGGATGGGATGCTTTTACATCACAGGTCAAAACTTTATAGGTTTCTTGGACAGTTCACCTGTACCCATACATGTTCCTGGGTGGAGAGAGGCATCGTGAGCTTAAAGCACACTGCCAAAGATCACAGTACAATAACCTGGCTAGGTTTCGAACTCGGACCTCGCGACCTGTAGCCCAACTTGCTAATCAATAAACCGCCACATTGGTATAAGGGGAAACTGAAGCATTGATGTTCTTCAGACGCGCACCGTGACCGGAATAAGAAGGCCCCTTGACATCAATTTTTTCTTAGCCAA